CCCTCCAACTTCCCCCCCATGCATAACAGGTACCCTCCAACTCCCCCCCCCCATGCATAACAGGAACCTTCTCCCATGCATAACAGGAAGTAATAAAGCTTTGTTTGTCATCACCTCCAATTTCAATCATCACTGGTGCCCCCCTCACCATAACTAATAACCACTCCCTATAAATGCATATTTTCCTAAAGTAGCAAAATCTTCTACCCAAACTAATATCTTTTAATATATATMCCATACTTGGGAAGAATGGGTGGTGTAGCAGTGAGAGTGCTTGCCTCTCATCAAGCAATGCAACCCTGGTTCGATTCTTGGACTCGTCGTATGTGAGTAGAGCTGTTTGTTAGTTTGTTGATTTTATATACCCTGTTCCAGTATAGAATTGCTGAAAACCATACCCTGTTTGGCGGCACGTACCCATATAGCGAATATAGGGGAGTACCCCCCCCTCCCTCCGGGAAAATTATTCTGTGTAAATCTAGTTACCCTATCAATTTGCATACTTCTTTCTTACCAATTCTGTTGACTGTATTGATATCAGCAATGTAGTTGGTGTTTAATAGTAGCTTGGGTGATTGTAATATTCCCTGCTTTCAGTGATCTATTAATTCATGAAGGCAAACAATATTGATGAAGACGGGCCAGACCTTTGTGAAYGTCGTTCAAGAAGTATACAAAAATCTATGGAATTCACAACATAAACACAAAACCTGGAGATGTTTTAATGGTCAAGTATTTCTTTTAACACTCCAGGTTGAAAATCTGACTAGATTAATGGTATTAAGATCTTGGAGTAAAGAAAACAAGATCTTGCTAAATCATCCATCATCTGTGGCAAGATCTTCCTGAGCTAGCTTTGATACTTTGAGGGTCTTGACAAACCTTGACTTATAAAAATCCTATTTTCGCAAGATCAAGAGGATGTTTATAAAAAATCTAAAGATTTTTCGAGCTTAATCTACACAGAAATTATCACACCTCACTGCGATTACACTCTCACACTCACAGATTATATTTTAAGAGAAGATCAGTGTGTTTCTTACCATGATTTTGGCGTAAAAACTTCATAGGAACAGACACATTAACATACCTACGTTTCCTGTTTATCAAGCTCCTTATCAACACAGGAATTCGTCACGAGATCGAGGCAACCCGGAAGTAAACACTTYTAGAATTTTTCTAGAATCTTTTTTTTAACGGTTATAGCCGTAAAGGAATATTTTCCCTAAATCAAATTGGCACAGTATTTCTCTACCATTTATTTAGGTATAAATTGTTATTTATTGATTATTTCCGCTATTTTTTATTTTTGCTCCAGCGGTTTTTAAAACAACGAAGGTATATACGCCATGAGTTGTAAAATATGAGAGGCTATTTATATGGAGCTGCTATCTGGGAGCTACATGAAGTACCCCTCTCCGAAGGTCAGCAAAGCCAATATGGCGGTCGTTATGCTGTGAATTCTGTTCAACAAAGAACAAGATCAAGGTTTTACTCCCAGAGAAATTGCATTATGGAGATAGTATGAGGAGCAGTATATTCTAAGTTCCTTTGGGGTAAGTAGAGAAATACGTAATGTGCTTTGGAGTTCTGCTTTTAAGGACGTTCTTGGGCAAAATATGAACATGAAACTTGAAGTAAAATAAGCAAATAAAAAATGGGRGTCTCCGACTACGTTTAGCCGTCAGATAATTTGGCAACTTGAACTTTTGAACTTTTATTTATTTACACACATAGTAGAGTGCAAACAATAAATCCGTGAAACACTAATTACTAAATAGTACAAAATAGTGCTAATTAAACGATAGAAAACAATGGAATTTGCATGAAATTGTGCTATTAAGTATTACTAAAGTTTCACGGTTATATTGTTTGCACTCTAATAGATAAAATTATAACAAAGGTGCAATAGACCTCTTCGGCTTGGGGTAATGTTTTCCCATTTCAGACCATGTGTCATTCCCTTGGGAATACGATTATTTGTTTGAACTGTATCCATATTCGTGTGACTTCTCATGTGCAACCGAGCGCAAACCTTAAACAAAGAAATGATACTCTAGGGAATGACATGTGGTCTGAAATGGGACAACATTATGTCAGAGCCGAAGAGGTCTATTGTTAACAAAATTCCAATAGCCAAAAAAAATAAAAAATAAGGATGAGTGTGTGTGTTGTTGAAAAAGTAAAAAACTTTCGGGTCAACAGCAACCTACTGTGATTGATTAATTTTTTTTTAGACCAAGAGCCGATAAGGACACATAAATATTTATACTTCATAGATTTCAATAAATAAAGAATAACTATTTACAATAGTACTTTCTACACTTAAATATTTCAATAAATAAAGAATAACTACTTACAGTAATGCCTTTAATAAATTAATGAGTATGAATACACAGGTGATTATTGAATATTCCAGGCGCTTTTTGGTCGAGAAACTCAGATTATCACATGCGATAATCCAAAATGGCAGCCATCCGCTTTGTTGCTGTTCCTAATTTTAGATGCGTCTTTTATCTTCTTTTTTTCCTTTTTTTGAAAGAATCACCTGTGTATTTATGCTAAAACAATTATTCACCTCAGGCTCAGTGAATATCGGGAATAATGACCTCAACTTTGTTCTGGTTATTATTCCCAAATATTCAAATAATTGTTAAATAATAAATACTATAATTGTTCATAGCATACATACATATGTATACATACATTATCAAACTCATTAATAATTCAGGAGGAAAACACAACAGAAATCACGACAGTGAAGAGTGTTGTAAATCAGATACAGAATCGTGTTCATTTGCATAAACTTTAAGTTGGATTTTCTTGGCCAAATTCACTTTAATTTTGAAAATTTTAGTAAAACACAAAGGAACTAACCTAGACGTTTGATAAGCAATACACACATATATAAACTCTTGGCTACACCTCRTGGTTGTATATCTGATACAACACGGCCACTCATACTGTATATATTACTTATATTTGCTTAAGAAGAAGATACATTTTTAAGTTTTTTTGAAAAGAGACAAAGAATTGAGCTTTTTTTATCCTAATGGAAATCATTTCCCAAATATTTGTCATCAAAAATTGGAATGTAAACTTTCCATAACTTGTTCTGACTGAGGGACAAAGGAGATTATCCTGTGAAGCGTAACAAGTATTATATTAATGTTTTTCTTTTGCAAGTTTATGCATGCCAGAAAATATTTTTAGAGCAGGTGTTGATCATTAATAATTTTAAATGCAAGTTCACCTGCCTTATAATATATGGTATTTTAAAATGTTAATACTGTATTCTCGAATTTCAAATCCCCATGATACTTTGCGTTTTTAGGGGGTAACCAGAGGGTAAAAACCCACTTATTTTGCTGAAGGCTGATCAGACAATGTTGACAATACCTTGTTTGGTATCCAAAAATAAAATGAAGAAGTAAAAAACAGAAAAAGATAGAAGCTTGAAGACGTTTAAGGTAAATTTTAAACATTTTTTCGCAAGTCAATACATTTTCTGTAAGACCAAAACTCTTGCTGATCTGTACACGCAAAAGTAACTTGGAATAAACTGATAATCAGTATTGTACAGATAAAAGCAGGTATAGTATAAATTCAATTAAGAAACCTTTCAATTTGGGACAGTTTTTTGATTGGTTACCCCCCAAAGACGCAAGGCATTATGGGGATGTGAAAGTAGAGAATACTTAATACTTTATAGAGGGGGGCTGCATGTTCATGGTTATTGCAAAAGAAAATCCTTCTCATGCATTTAATTTGAGCTGTAGATATTTTGGATAAATTTTCTTTGTATGTATGTATTTCCTCAAGATAATATCCCATATGCTGAGTATGGATGAGTTATTGAAAAATATATATCTCGTTATGTTTTGAAATTAACATAGTACCTTAATTAACTTATTTATAGTACACTCAACAAAATGACTCGACTCTGATTGGTCGAGAGGAGTACAATTATAGCGTTAATTGTACTCCGTAGGAGTACCGAATTAAGTCGMTATGGCAACACGGCCAAAACAATGTCAAAACAATTATTTTCTATCATTTTGTACTTAAAAATCATAAATAAAATTTTAAAGCCGTAAGAACTAATCTTTTTTATGCATTTCAGTTGCGCGATGGACTGAATAGACAAAGATGAATGGCGTCGCTTCGCATTTTTTACTGAAATTTTGTTGAGTGAACTATAAACAAAAAATCGCACGATCTTCTCGTACAATTTGGAATTAATAGACACTCGTAATGTTTTGAAAGTTCTTTAATTGCACTCGCCTAAAGGCTCGTGCAATTACAAGAACTTCCAAAACATTACTCGTGTCTATTAATTTCCAAATTGTACTCGTGATCGTGCGATTTCCTATACTAATCACTCCGATATTCTTATAGATATTGTACAAGTTTGATTTGATGTTCCCAATGGCCCCCTTCCAAGATATTTTTGGCTTGTCACGCTCAAAGGTCTTAGTATGAGGCTACGTGCTTCATGCTCAGTCATTCATGACAGGCAGTTAGAATAAATTTAATAGACCTCTGGTTTGGGGTAATGTTTTCCCATTTCAGACCATGTGTCATTCTCTTGAGAATACGATTATTTGTTTGAGCTGTATCCATATTCGTGTGACTTCTCATGTGCAACCGAGCACAAACCTTAAACAAAGAAATGATACTCTAGGGAATGACATGTGGTCTGAAATGGGACAACATTATGTCAGAGCTGAAGAGGTCTATTTAGCACGTAGCCTCATACTGAAACCTTTGTGTGAGACAAKCGAAGCATATCTCAGAGGTGGGTGATTCAGATGCTAGTCGATATATACTCCTAAATGGATATAACTAGCTAAAAACTAGTGTGAGCTGCGTCGGTGTTTCTAATGAAACAGTAATGATGAAAAGGTAAATTATACACCGTGAAAAGATGAAAAAACTTACTGACGTTTCGGACGCTAGTCCTTCGTCGTAAATATTTATTGTATGGTTTTTGTTCAATATAAGGGACTTTGATCATAGGATTTGATTTTCATGTAATGTGTTTTCTTTAGGTTGACAGATAAAGTGCTACTCTGACGAAAATCGCTCAAACTTGGATTCAGCTGAAACTTCCTAAGAATACTCTTTAAAGGTCCAATAATCACTGTATGAAGTGTTTTCTGTGACGTCATACACTCAACATCGAACATCGCTCCATACATTTCTTTGTATATAAATCCTTAATTTATTTTATTCCTATGAAGCCCAAAGGGTGGCTAATGTGCTTATTTCACATTACTTGTGACTATAATTTATATTAATTTTTGGGGTGTTTGGGTATTTCTTTCTTGGCTTTTAACTACCGATATTTTGATCACAAACTACAAAGAAATGACATTGTATGGGGCGAAGTTCGATGTTGAGTCTATGATGTCACAGACTCCAAAAAATAATCGTAAAAATATCATACTTTCGTCCTGAATATCAAGAAAACACTTCATACAGTGATTATTGGACCTTTAAAGAGTATTCTTAGGAAGTTTCAGCTGAATCCAAGTTTGAGCGATTTTTGTCAGAGTAGCACTTTAATTTCTTAGTTCCACAGTATGAAATAAAGGATATTACATGGGCGYGYGGAGATACACAATTTATCTTCGAGTGTTGAAAAGATCTCAACACGAGATTTTCAACACGAGAAGATAAATTGTGTTTCTCCAAGCGCCCATGTAATATTCTGTTTATTATATAATTATCAATGAAGTATTTTTTTTTTTGCTTTTTCAGGCAATTCTTTCCGTGTTTTTTGAATAGCCATCRCAATGGTGTTATTTTCACACGTGAAAATAACATGYTATTTTCACGTGTGAAGATATCAATTTTTCGAAATAGAGAAAAATAGATATTTCATCGATAATTATATAATAAATTATATTATTCCACTCTTAATTAATAACACTTTCTATTGTGACTGGGACTAAATTTGTCTGCAAAAAAAGATGTCAGTATCGTCGGCAAAGATTCTTTAAAAAATTAATTTTTGAGAAACATTGATGAGATCATTAACATATAACAAGAAAAGTAATGGCACAAGTGTGCTCCCCTGCGGGACTACATGCATAATGCACCTTAGGCCAGATTTAACATTGCCAACTTTGGTAAATTGACTTAATTTAGTGAGAAAAATCTAGATGATCAATTAACTTTGATTGCAATTCCTCACTTTTAGAACACTCCCTTTCAATTTTTAAACTTTATTACTTTGTTGGCACATTCAGATTTCCTTTTTAATTAGAAAAAAACTAGGTCTTGATCCCGTTACTGATAAGTATTACTAGTTATAATATCTAACTGAATGAATTTGCAACTTGAAATTCGAATTTGAATAGAATTCCCCTGATAATTCCTGTACATGAAGTTACTTCCCAGAACTTCTAACAAAAGGACATTATTTTGCATGATGGCATCATTTGACTCCCTCTACCATAATACTTTGCAAATTTTCTTTCTTTTTTAAATTTGTATTTCCTCATGAGATTAGTAAGATAATTGGTGCTAATTAACCCTTTCACTACTAGAGGCTCCAACACAGGCTCTTACTGGAACATAATTAGGTTGTTTTCATTTTTCAATATCAAAATGAAAAATATATGTCCTTTTTCACTCTGGTGAAGGGTTATAAGCATCCGAAACGTCAGTAAGTTTTTTCATCTTTTTACAGTGTAAAATTTACCCTTTTATCATTACTGTCCTAGGTGATGGGTAATTGAAAAGCAAAAAAGTCTTTCCGCTGGTCACTTTTGGCCACTTTTGGCCACTCTAGGAAAAATGTAGCATTTCCAGTTAGCCGCTTTTGGCTGCTCTAGTAGTGAAAGGGTTAACTGAACAAAAGAAAGTGTGCAAGGGAGTCTTGTAGTAGAGGTCAATGACACCATCATGCAAAYGACCTATTGCATTGTTTTGAGACTTTGACTTTATCCAACTGAAGCCTTGTACCAATAATAATTAACTCAGTTTGATCAGAATTGAGTTTAAATACAATAGATATATTAAATTATTATTAGAGATTTTTAGATTGACGTTCACTGCAAACGTGTAACGTCAGTTGATCAGTGAAAAATTCTTTTAAATAAATGAAAAGGAATCGCAAAAAAATCCAAGTAGTAAAGAATTTTTTTTGTGATATGAAAGATATGAAAGAGGTAAAGTAAAATACAGGAAAACGATGAAAACGTGGTCACGTTTGCCGTTTGCGGGAAGAAAAAAAGTCTATCTAAAACTCTCTATTATTATGTGAGTATCTCCCGATGGAATAAGACCAATAAAAATACTAAATTATTATAATAATTATACAGCTTCTCATTAATCCCATATAGGTAACTGCCCAATTATTTTCTTAATTGGACAGGTCTTGTTGATATGGGATTAATTAGGCAGCTATACAATTAATAGGTAATGGGATTTCATGCTCCCCAATCAAGAAGTAATTAGACTTGAAAAATTCCTCTGACTGCCAAATTGAACTCTGCCTACGGCCTCATCCAATTTTGTCAGTCCTCGGAATTTTCCTTGTCCAATTATTTCTTAATTGGACGGCATGGAGTCCTATTACATATTATAATAGAGGCTTTGCACCATCACGTGATGGCAGCCATGACAGGAGGCACAACAATAGTCTTTGGCCTATGGGAAACTGAATTCTTCCTTATGTAAACCAGATTAGACTGTATTCAATGGTTCCTGCCTCCTGTCATGGCTGCCATCATGTGATAGGTACAAAGCCTCTATTATAGGGAAAGTTCATTTAAAATGAACGTGAAAAACCTTATTTTTTACAGGGTCCCCTTTAAGACTTTTTGAACCCCCCCC